TACTGGTAATTCAGATGCAAAGGTTGGAAGCAAAAAGGGAGAATCATTCATTGGAAAATACAGCCTTAGTGATAGAAATGATGCTGGATATCGCATGATAGAATTCTGTAAAGACAAAGGACTTATTCATTGCAATATCTTCTTTAAACAACATAAAAGACGACTATACCCATGGACCTCACCGGATGGCATACATGGGAATCAAATTGACTACATCCGTGGGAAGAGATGGTGAAAAAGTTCCGTATCATCAGCCAAACAAGGCCAGGAACAGATTGTGGAATAAGACCATCAATTGCTCATATGCAAGTTCAGACTAAAGCTGAAAAAAATGGAAAGTCCATGAGAGCCAAAATTGGACCTAGAACATTTGTTGTTGTAGTTGTTATGTGCCATGGAGTCGGTTCTGACTCATAGCGACCCTGTACAGGGTTTCCGAGGCTGTATATCTTTACGGGAGCAGAAAGCCTCATCTTTTTCCCACGGAACAGCTGGTAGTTTCAAACTGCTGACTTTATGGTTTGCAGCCTGATTTGTAACCACTATGCTACCAGAGCTCCTTGAACATATTTCACCTGAATTTAAAGATAATGTCAAGAACAGATCTTATGCATTTGATATTAATAACCGAAGACCAGAAGAGTTGTGGGATGACATCAAGAACATCATATAGGAAGAAAGCAAAAGATCATTAAGAAAGCAAGAAAGATGGAAAAGACCAAAATGAATGTCAGAAGAGACTCTGAAACTTGCTAAATGTCCATCCAGTGTAGAGATGCGAAAGCATATGAAAGAAATGAAACAAAAGAGCTGGACAGAATATTTCAAAGGGCAACTTGAGAAGACAAAGCATTGTAATAAAATGTGCAAAGACCTGGAGTTAGAAAACCAAAAGGGAAGAAGACAGCATTTCTGAAGCTGAAAGAACTGAAGAAAAAATTCAAGCTTCAGTTTGAAATATTAAAGGATTCTATGTATAAAATTCTGAATAATGCAGAAAGCCTCAAAAGATGTAAATCAGAACCTGACCAGCTGAAGATAAAGAAGTTTGATTGTCACAATTTGATGAACAAGACCTTTGCATATGAATGGAGTTGCTCAAAATTGCAAATGAAATGGAAGGATTATTCATGTTAAGGATCAAGCTTGCCCTTTGGGACCACTGGGTTCATAGAGATGGGCAAGTTAGACATTGGCCACCAAAAATAGGCTGTAAATCTTTACGGGAGCAGAACGCCTCATCTTTCTCCCGCGGAACAGCAGGTAGGTTCAAACTGCTGACCTTGAGTTTAGCAGCCCGGCTCGTAACCACCACACTACCATAGATCCTTAAAAAGAGGTAAATAAATACTGTTAACTGAGGGTGTATAGAGGGGATTGTAATTACTGTAATGAAACAAAATATGATTTGTTGAGTGTAAAACTGATGATCTGCCCTGTAAATACATATATACAGTGGAATACTTACTATTCTGTCAGTAGGAAAAATGAAATCTTATACAGTATGGATGGATCTTGAAGATATTATACTGAATGCAATAAGCCAATCACAGTAGGACCTCACTTATCTAAAAATACAAGAAAAGGCAAATATAGAGAGACCAAAGTTTACTAGTAGTTACCAAGGGCAGCAGGGAGGGTGTTGGAAAAGAGGGGCTAACTGTGACGGGAAAGTGCCTGATTAAGGGTAGGGATGCACAGTCGATTACTGTACTTGCTATAATAAGATATACACAGCAAAAAAATTGAATTGGCAAAAGTTGTGCAACCTATATTTACAACAACAATAAAAGTGAGAGTAGCTGCTGAGGCTGCTTTTGTTCACCCAAACAGCTCATGGGATTTGAGATCCTTGATTTGGAGCTTGAAGGTCATGGTTTCATGGGACCCAGGTAATTAGTCTGATAAACATGGTTAGTGCTTCTGTTCTACCTTCTAGTTCCCTACATAGGGCCTGAGGTGTTAAAAGCTTTTAATTCCTCATCCAAAGCACAACACTTGATCTTCATTCACCTGGAACAAGAGGGAAGGAGAGTCAGGGGTAGGTGGAGGATATGAAATGTGTGGCTAATTGCTCCATAAACAGCTGCCCCTGGCCATGAGACCAGAACTAGATGGTGCCCAGCTACCACTACTGAACATTTGGATCAAAGATTCCATACAAGAATCCTGATTAAAAGAGGGAAAATAAACAGAATGTCAAATTCTCTTAGACTCCAAACTTCATGGATCCAAGGGGTCTGGGTAAACCCATGAAACTATTGCCCTGAAATATCTCCTGAAGTCTTTGGAAAACTACTGTAAGTTAACTAGTAAATAAAGATCTGCCTTAAGAATGATGCTCTTTCAGTGTGTGGCAGAAGATAGAGTCCCCACTGAATAGTTTTCATCTTGTCTAGATGAGTCTGGTGAAAAGAGATGGGGATAAGATTCTTATGATTCAATAGTGAGTAATTGTTATCTGACTAATTGCGACTGTCACAATTGTAAAGGTAGAAATTTTGTAACATAAATGGGGGCACACTTAATCTTACAGTCCAGAAACAGAGGACCCTAGGACCATCAAGGGAAAAGAGCACAAGCAGAATGAGGGACTCTATCCAGAGAAGCAGTGATGCTAAAGACAGAGGCAGAGATGAGGACATGGAGAGACGGAGTAGCTGGGGACTCTAGATTCGTGGAAAGAGTGGGACTGAGAGCTGGTGGCCAGGAGGCAGACTTTCAGAATGTGCCCTTTGGTGGTGTAAATTATTATATATGCCTGAGTGTTTTTTAAAAAAGAGCTAAAATGAATAGAGAGAAATACTGTTAACTGACGGTACATGGAGGGGATTATAACCATTGTAATGAAACAAAGTATATATGATTTATTGAATGTAAAACTGATGATCTGCCCTGTACACTTTCACTCAATTCACAATAAAAACTTTAAAAAAGAAGAATGATGCTCTTTTAAGTATGATCTGTATGGGATCAAATTGACAACAACAACTTGAAAGATTGCAAAGGAACCTTGCATGAGGGTGGAGGGCAGGGAGTTCATGTTAATGGTGGAGAAAGAATTCAGAAGAAGGTAAGAATGACTGTACAATTTGAAGAATGTAATCAATGTCCCGAAATTATACATACAGAAACTGTTGAATTGCTATGTGCTTTGCTATGTATATTCTCAACAACAACAAAATAAAGAATATTTAGAAGGGAAAAAAAAAAAGGAGGATGTAAGGAATACACAGAGTCATTGCGTCAAAAAAAAATGGGCCATGTTCAACCATTTCAAGAGGTAGCATATGATTAAGAGTTGATGGTACTGAAGGAAGAAGTCTGAGGTGCACTGAAGGCATCGGCAAAGAACAAGCCTCTGGGAACTGATGGAATACAAATAGAAATCTTTCAACAAATTGATGCAGTACTGGAGAAACTCACTCATCTATGCCAAGAAATAATGGAAGACAGACCTGGTCACGTGATTGGGAGAGATCCATACTTGTGGCCATTTCAAAGAGAGATGACCCAATGGGTTGTAGAAATCATTGGACAACATCATTCATATTACATACAAGGAAAGTCTTGCTCGAGCTAATTTAAAAACGGCTGCAACAGTACATTGCCAGAGGTTCAAGCCAGATTCAGATAAAGACATTAAACAAGTGATATCACTGTTGACATCAGATGGATCTTGGCTGAAAGCAGAAAATACACAAAGAAGTTGATCTGTGCTTCATTGACTATGCAATGACTTCAGCTGTGTGGCTCATAATAAATTATAGACAACATTGCGAAGTATGAGTATTCCGGAACACTTAATTGTGCTCATGAAGAACTTGTACATAGACCAACAGGCAGTTGTTCAAACAGAACAAGAGGGCACTAAATGGCTTAAAAGTAGGAAAGGTGTGTGCCACGGTTGTATTCTTGCATCATACTTAATCAATTGGTACGCTGAGCAAATAATCCAAGAAGCTGGGCTATATAAAGAAGAATGTGGCATCTGGATTGGAGGAAGACCCATTAACAGCCTGTCATATGCCGATGATATAATCTTGCTTGCCGAAAATGAAGAGGACTTAAAATACTTAATGCCGAAGATCATAGATTACAGTCTTCAGTATGGATTGTGCCTCAAGGTAAAGAAAACAAAGGTCTTCATAACTGAACCAATAAATATCATCATGATTAATGGAGAAAAGACTGAAGGAGTCAAAGACTTCCATTTTGTTTGGATCTACCATCAACACTCATGAAAGCAGCACTCAAGAAATGAAACGATGTATTGCAGTGAGCAAATCTGCTGCACAATACCTCTTTAAACTGTTAAAGAGCAAAAATGTCATTTTGAGGACTAAGGTGGACCTGACTCAGGTCATGGTGTTTTCAATTACCTCATATACATGCAAAAGATAGAACCGATGCCTTTGAATTATACTGTTGGCAAAGAATATGAAATGTATCGTGGACTGCCAGAAAAAGAAACAAATCTGTGTTAGAAGAAGTGAGGTTTGAAGGCTCTTTAGAGGCAAGGACTTCCAAAAGTGTCTCATGTCCTCTGGACATGCCAGGAGGGAGCAGTCCCTGGAAAAGGATATCATGCTCTGTAAAGTGGAGGGTCAGCGAAAAAAGGAAAGACCCTCAAAGAGACGGATTGGCACAGTTGTTGGACTCAAAGTTAACATTTGTGAGGATGGCGTATGACCGTACAGTGTTCTGTTCTACATTGGGCAGCTATGAGTTGGAATCGCTGGATGGTACCTAAACACAAGCAAGGGAAGGATAGGTGTACATCTCTAGTCAAAGGGGGTAATGGGCATTTGGGAAGGGAGGACTCACAGGGTCCCAGAGGCCCAAGATTACCCAGTTCCTAGACATAACGTCTTCCTGGCCAGGTTGGAGGTAAGCAGCCAGACTGCAACTTCGAGGCAAGCCAGGGCCTCGGAGCGCCAGCCCCGCGGTCTGTGGGCGGAGCCCCGCCGGGCGGTCCCGGAAGTGCTCGCGCCGGTAAGATGGCGGCTGCGGCAGGTCAGCTCCGGGCGTTCTGCCGCTTCTCTCGTGTCTTACTCTTCTTTTCCCAGCTCTACATCTTGTCGGGCGGTGGTGAGTGCAAGAGCGGGGCTCCACATCAGGGCGTAGGCTGAGTGGCGGAAGGGACCCCAGGAGCTGCGGGAGGCGTCCTGGCTGGGCTTGCGGACCGAGGGCTGCGCGGCCGGGCCGTGGTGTGTGAGGCCGCCTCTCGGCTCCGAGACGCCGGAGTTGCCGCCGACTCCGCGAAGGCCTGGAGCGGGGCATCTAGTGCTTGGGGATCTGCCGGGGAAGCGGAGCGGAACCAGATAACACCCTTTGTTCCCTAGTTGCCCAGATGGAAATTGTTGACCCCGCTGGCGTTGCGCCATTTAGTTTACGACCTGTCAAAGCGGGAGGTTTTCACGAGTGACCCTGGCCCAGTGTAGCCAGACCCTGCGTGCTAAGCACACCAATCAAAGTCTTCATAAGCGCGGATAACGTGTTTCTCTAACTGTCCTGTCCTTAAATCCTTACATCTAGAGCACTCGCAGCCGCTGGCTCAGTCAATAAAGGACCCGGGTCCAACACGCACATTCACAGAAGTGCCCAGGGCAGCAGGTACTAGACATTTATTATTCCAGTAAATGTGCATATTTATATCTAGTGGTCTCTCTCTTTTTAAAATAAAATTTCTTTTAGTATGCAAAATTAGTTTCCATTTTTGAATATATCATCTATTTTAGATTGCGTAAAAAGTTAGGGCGGATGCACATGTTTCTGCAGACGTTCTTGTTAAGTTCTTTTTGACTTTCCTGCCTCATTTCTTTTTGCAGTCCTACAATCTTAATTTCCATCTCCTTATTTTATACTTCGATCATTTTATCAAGTTCATCCATCAAGATAACTTTGAACCCGAGGTTCTTTCCACTCAAAACTCTTCTACTTCTTGAACCCTCTTCCCAGTGTTGTGTATTAAATGCTCCGCCAAGGCTGTGTGAAATGAACGTTGGTGTGCCGTGGAATCAGTCCTGACTCATAGCGACCCTGTATAGGATTTCTGAGTCTGTAAATCTTTAGGGGAGCAGATCACCTCATCTTTCTCCTACGGAGCCACTGGTAGTTTCAAACTGCTGACTTTGAGGTTGGCAGCCTGACTTGTAACCACTACCAGAGAGAGACCTTAAGGCTCAGAGCAGAGGTCTGGTTATGCTACTGGAGCCTTGAGCTGTTACTCACTTCAGTTTGCTTATCTCTTAAGTTGATGCCAGACCCTCTGAAGTCATTTCAGCTTTGTGATTCTAAATGCCCAAGCTCAGACAATTGTTGTTGTTATGTGCCCTGGAGTAGGTTCTGACTCATAGTGATCCTGCACAGGGTTTCCGAGGCTGTAAATCTTTATGGGAGCAGAAAGCCTCATCTTTCTCCCACGGAACCGCTGGTAGTTTGGAACTGCTGACCTTGCGATTCACAGCCCAATTCATAACCACCACGCTACCAGAGCTCCTTCAGACAATAGTAAGGTGACAGAATACATGACAGTATCTTGTAGGTTTGTTACCTGCATGTGGGGTTGTACCTGCTGCAATACAAACCCTATTCAGCCACACCAAGTGAAGAGGCAAAAAAGAGTTTAATCACTGATGCTTGAGCGGAGCTGGACAGAATGCTAGCACTCCCCACATGTCTGCGTGGCATCCTTGTTTAGTGCTGCTATTACAGAAACACCACAAGTGATAGCTTTAACAAATACACTTATTCTCTTACACTTTGGGAGGCTAGTCGTCCAAATCCAAAGCACTGGCTCTGGAAAGGTCCTTGCCTCCTTTTAGCATCAATGGACCAGCCATTCGGTGGAAATCTCCATGTGTTTGGCACCAGTCTTTCCCTGGATCTAGGAACTTCACATTGCGGGGGCTCACTCCACTCCCAGCTTGTCTTTTGCAGTAATAGGTCTCAGTGTGGCGCTGTAGGATAAACACTTGACCTAAGGTCGCTTCGAACTGCCAAGCTGGCGTTTCAAACTCACCAGCTGCTCCTTGGGAATCCTCTATAGGGTGGCTGTGATTCAGAACTGACTTAGTGGCATACAACCACCAGCTAGGTGTATTTTAAATGGGTAATTCCAATGACTCAGTGTATGGGAAATTGAGTCAGAACCTACTCAACTGCGCTTAACAACAATAGGCCACCCTTCACTGATGACTCCTCTTTCCTTTAATCTCTTATAAGACAAAAAGTGTTGCATGCCACACTCCTGGAACTCTCCCTTACAAGATCAGGGTGATGACAAGATTAAGGGTGGTGTATCGCATCCATCTAAAAATTCCATTTGTTGGTAAGTGCCATTGGCTCATAGTGACCCTGTATAGGGTTTCCTAGGTGTGGCTGGCGATCTTGAACCACGGAACCACTGACCTTAAGGTTCAAAGCAACCTTGCAGTTCAGCGCATTAACTCACAGTGCCACACTAGGACTAAATTCCATTTGTTGTTGCTGTTAAGTGCCACTGAGTTGGTTACAACCCATAGCAAACCTGTGTAGGGTTTCCAAGGAGTGGCTGGTGAGCATGAACCGCCAACCCGGTTGTTCAAATCGACTTTGCAGTACAACATATTAACCCACAATGCCACACCAGGACTCCATTTAGATGACTAAAAATTCTACTTGACTGCTAACCACTAGGTCAACGGTTCAACCCCACCAACTACTCAGAAACCCTATACAGGGTTGCTGTTGTTGTTGTTAAGTGCCGTCGAGTCGGTTCCGACCCATAGCGACCCTGTACAGGGTTTCTGAGGGTGTAAATCTTTACGGGAGTAGAAAGCCTCATCTTTCTCCTGCGGAGCGGCTGGTAGTTTTGAACTACTGACCTTAAGGTTCGCAGCCCGATTCATAACCACTACGCTACCAGAGCTCCTTAGGGTTGCTGTTAGTTGCACCGAATTCACACAGCACTTAACAATAACAACTACAGACCCATTCTTAATCCTTTTATTGGTTTATCATATCAAATCATATCATGGGAGATAATCACTAACTGCCGAACTACTGAGAATCACCAACCATTCAAATGGACATGTGTCCTGGGGACACAGTTCAGTTCATTACATAGTGTCAGAAATGTCAAGGTAAAGACAAGTTTATATTTATTAGTTTTGTAATAGATAACAGTCGCGTCTGAAAATTCCATTTTCAAGAATGGGTGTTTTGATCTTATAAAAGACAAAGAAAAGTTGCTCAACTATAAATTTTGTCTCTGTTGTTAAGTGCTGATTCCCACTCTTAGCGACCCTCCTTGTATAAGGTTTCTGAGAAGCAGCTGGTGACTTTGAACCACTGATCTTGCGGTTCAAATCTACCTTTCGGTCTAGCGCTATCCTACAGCACCACAGCAGGATTCCAGCAACTGGGAACTTTCCCTTGATAGACAAGAGGAGGTGCCAGTTACAGGCAAGTCCTGCTGAGTTCTTTGAAATGTCGCATTTTGGAATTGGGCATTTTCATTTCCTGGTCTTGGGATTTTATTTTGGTAGTTTTTCATACACTGGGTCATCAAGATGACCCATTTAAAATACACTTCAGTGGTGGTTTTGTGCCGCTGAGTCGGTTCCAACTCATAGTGACCCTGTGTAGGGTTTCTGAGGCTGTAAATCTTTACAGGGGCAGAAAGCCTCATTTTTCTATCTTGGATCGACTGGTAGATTAGAAGTACTGACCTGGTAGTTAGCTGCTTAGCTCTTTGTCCATGGCACTACCAGGGCTCCCTTAAAATACACTGACTCCTTGTGTTTTGACTATCTCAGGCTGTGATGGTTAAGGCCACCTGTGAGCTTGGCTGGGCCATCATTCTCAGTGGGTTGTCAGTTATGTGATGTTGTGCTCCTCTTCCATTTTATGACCTATTGTGGTCATCCTCCATTTTTGCATAACAATCTGGTCTTTAGAACCTAACTGTGGGGAAGTGAGGAGTAGGTAACTTTAAGTTGTTGTTGTTGTTACGTGCCGTCGAGTCGGTTCCGACCCATAGCGACCCTGTACAGGGTTTCCGAGGGTGTAAATCCTTACGGGAGTAGAAAGCCTCATCTTTCTCCTGCGGAGCGGCTGGTAGTTTTGAACTGCTGACCTTTAGGTTCGCAGCCCGATTCGTAACCACTACGCTACCAGAGCTCCCATTTTAAATAGGCATTAATTTGTTTCTTTAATTTCACCCTTAGTTTCTTCACTCCATATTTCCACTGTTTTAATTAATTGAAACTGGCAGAGGTAGCTTTGAAATTTTTATTTGGATGTAAGAAAGTCTAAGAGACAGCAGTATACTTGAGTTTAAAATGACTCTTGGATGTTTGTGAAAGTCCCACTTCATCTTAAGAATCCTTGCAATTTTGATCTTTTTTTAACTGATGAAAACTATCATACACTTGGATAGGTTGACAAGGAAAATATTGCAACCCTCTGCGCAGGTTATTAATATAAAAGCAATTGTTTTGAATTTTGCTAGTGAAAATCTTGGTACCAAAGTATACTAGAATGTTATTCCACAATGTGGAATGATGACAAAGTGTTTCCAAAGTTGCTGCTACTGTTGTGAGATGCTGTTTAGTCAGTTATAACTCATAGTGAGCCCAGTGACAACAACATGGACCCCTGCCCAGCCCTGCGTCATTCTCACAATTGTTGTTATGCTTGAGCCATTACTGTAGCCAGTGTATCAACAATCTCATTGAGTCTTGCTCTTTTTTTGCTGACCCTCTACTAAGCACGATGTCCTTTTCCAGAGACTGGTCACTCCTGATAACATGCCCATAGTTTGTGAGACAAAGTCTCACCATGCTGTCTTGTAAGGAGAATTTTGGATGTATGTCTTACAATACAGATTTGTTTTTTTTTTGGCTGTCCATGGTATTTTCAATGTGGTCGCTCAGTAACATCCAAAGTTGTTGTTGTTATGCGCTATCAAATTACTTCTGGCTCATAGTCACCCTGTATAGGGTTTCCAAGGAGCAACTGGTGGGTTTAAACCACCAACCTTGTGGTTAACAGTCCAGTGCTGATATTACAGCTCCACACCAGGAATGTTGTTGTTAAGTGCTGTT